ATATATATATATATGGCCAGTGACAAAAAAAGTGGAATGTCAGCAATACTGATGATTGGCTCATATCAGAGTCTTGCTGGTAGCCTAATCAAAGTACGAGTAAAGATACGCTTTTGTTTTAGAACTATATAAATACCTTGACAAACCAGAATATGTTAAGATTTGCTGGTAATGGTGTTTACCTTCAGCGCAACTTTCACCATAAAAGGGACGATAGCAGTCACATTGGTAGCTGGTCCAGAGGTCCACACAGTGTCCGTGTCCATTGCAAGGGTCAGGCTTACACCACTCAGTCTTACTACACCCCAACTCATAGCTTTGATCCCCTGGAAATGTTTGGGGTAGGATATATTTTGAGTCAACTAAAAGGTCTTCAATACATCCAGTGAATCCTTCTCCACTCATTGAGAGCTGCAAAAGCTCATTTGGTGCTCCGCCTATATAAACATTAGCAAAGGCTTCAGAGGGTTGGAATGGAGGTTCTTCTGCACTACCATCTGTAACCGTGCACCTATGCCCTTGGCAGTTTGGGCCTCTCAGAATCAAAACAAGACTATTGGTATCCAAAAGCACATGAACATCTCTCCAGTCTCCATCACCAACCGGCTCTGGAAACGTTACATCCATTTCCGATTCTTCAGAAAAGGCTTTTGCATGAAGACCATTATTAACAACCTCCAGAAGGAGATAGTTATCCATATCCCCCCTGAAGAAAAGCAGCATTTTGGGCAATGTTGTCCGAAAGCGAAGCTGTACCCCAAAACCTTGGTGATCCTGGTGCTCAACCTCCCTGCGGGTTCGTTCTTTCAGAGCAACCTGAAAGTGGATGAATCCATGGGTTCGCAACGAAAACGTTGTTCTTGTGGAGCAATGGTCATCATAGAACCCGTGAGGACACAAGCATTCGTGTCCGTGCTTTCCATCTTCGATTTTTGGAAGGCAGGTGGCCTCATTTTGGCATTTGTGGCCAACACATCCATACAGTTTAACATCGCAGTTTTCACCTCCCCAAGGCAGTTCACCTGGCTGAGGTTCAGGACAGTGACATGTGTAGGATGCGCTGCCATCTTCACACCACCCACCATTCTGACAAGGCTCACTTTCACACTCATTAACGTCCAATTCACACAGTTTACCTGAAAATAGATTAACCTAATTATTACACACAGTAAAACAGAAAAAGCATTTTTATATGTTATTGTTGTGTTTGTATGCACATTTTACAATTATTCATTCATAAGCGCATTTAGAAGTACTTATTGTGAAGTTCTTAAATCCAACACATTCCAGGTGATTCACTCTAAGTATTTGAGGCTGTATAACCTACCCAAGAAGCCAACAGGGCATGCACAGACGTAACCGTTGATCTTATCCATACAGGCGCCTCCATTATGACAGGGCTCAGATTCACATTCATCAATGTTTACAGAGCAGTTCTCCCCTGTGGGGCAAAACAAATCACAGATTGGTTTCAGTATTTAAAACATAGGATTATTTTCCAGCCAACTAGTTTTACTTCACCAACCTGCAAAACCTGGCTGGCACTGGCAGATATATCCAGCTGCATCTCCAAAGCTAAGCTCCAACTCCCAGGAAGAGGGATCTGAGCGCTCAAAACACTCCCCCCCATTCTCACATGGCTTTTCAGCACACTCATCTATATCAGTTTCACAGCTGGGTCCTTCATAACCTAGGGGGAAAAGGGCAAAATCTAACTGTATGTAGTTTTTAAAATACTCAGTAAATTGCACTTTGTAAGAACGTAGAAACCTTATTTTAATCCAACTTTCCTTAGTTCTTAATTTCATGTACTGTATCTTGAAAGTCAGAATTTATTATTTATGAATAACATCATGTTCAAGATGCAATTGGCAAGATTAACTCATTGTGTCCAGAAATGAAGCTAGCTTCTTTGCAATACTAGCTGGTAACATATAGTTTAAGGGTACCACTTTACAATAAGGCTCCCCTTATAGATAGCTTATGGATAGTTTATAGATAGGTTATTAATTCATCTGTAAACATGTTATAAATCATTAATAAATGTTTATTATGGATTAATTAAGGAAAGGAAAGAGACAGAACTTTCCGGTTTCTCGCCAAATCTGTTTGTGTACATATTACTAGGTTTATAATCAGGGTTGCACATAAAATTTTTGGTCTGGTTCTCAGGGGAGAACCTAGGGTTGTTGCTTGGTGCTCATATTTTCCTTCACTCATTTAACACATTTATGTGTCAGAGCATCTAACGTCCCCCTGTTCTGTTTTATGACTCCTATCAGCTGCAACGTCTCAGGACATCATGCCAAATCAGTCCAACAAGTTTTTATTTTATTCTTTTACTCTGCATAAATTTTGTAAACTACCTAAGTGGCCGAGGGGCTGGGTGTATGTCATATAAACATCACAAACTGAACATTTCATGGTTAAATGTCTTTTAGACTAACATGTCCCTCAGATGGACAACTCCTGTTTGGTCTTCTGCATCTTCAGCCTTGGTTAAACCAGCTTTCCACACTCTCCAGTCCAAGCAGCAAATATCTGTCTTTTGCACAGAGCAAAATAACTTAAAACATACAAATGTTTTATTTGTTAGACTGATTTCTTTTTTGAAAGACTATTTTATTCAAAAAGATAATACTATTTAAATGGTTTCAGCTCATGTAATTTTTTATTCTTCGTATTTGATCGTTTAATAAATTACATTTATCCCAAAAAAGCTGTGTCACAGTGTGGTCCTAAATAAAAATAAGTTTAGGACATCAAGAACCTTGTTTTTTGATAAAATTGTGAATGAAATTTGTGGATCTTAATGATAAATTAAAATAACATTTAAAACTCTTTCACCTAGAGAACTTGGCAAGTTGTTTTTATTTATTAAAATATAAATTTTTTGATGGGGTGTTAAACAGAGAGTCATCTTTGCTTTAATATGGGGCAAACAAATGTTCTGTTAGTTAATGTGGTTTAATTAGAAGAACTCAAACAGTGGGACCCTGCAGTATCACAGAAAGACTCAGCCTCACACTCATACAGCAGTCTCTCAGGAGGAGAGTTCAGTCAGTCACACAGAGTTGGATAGATCTGTTCAATAACAACATTCTGAACATATATTTAATATAAAGTTAGGTTTTACAGACCAAAGTCTCTGGTGGTTCTAGAGCAAAGTGCAGGAGGAGATGACTGACCGATGGCTGCAGCCTCTCTGCTCGAGTTGAGCTGCTGCTTCAACCAAACTGCTCTCACTGAAAGTCCCGCCCTGCTCTGCTCTGATTGGATAAAAAGGCTCTGGACTTCATCTGATTTGTTGAAGGCAGAGTCCGTTTAATCCTTTTATCAGGGTGCCTCTGTCAGTCTTTGTGAGCACCGACCTTGATCCAGTCACACTGTGCAGCTGGAATTTTTTTATTTTTAATTTTATTTTATATTTTAAGAAATCAGGTCGCATTTGTGACCAAACTGGTCACACTCTAGAGCCCTGCTGGCTGTTGTTTTGACAGATAATCAGGTACAATCTTAGGTGCGCAAGTGAGCTTTATGAAGTTACATCTGGTGCGCTTTTTCCTTTTTTGACCGCGCAAGCGCACCTGCGCACTGCTTCTGTTTACAAGCAAAATTATGTATTGGAAATACATATTTCAAAAACAATATTGAACTATATTACTTATACATATTAACAACTGTCAAAGGTAGCCTTATTGTAAAATGTAAGACAGTAGGTACACTATTTATTAATGACTAATAAACTTGTATAAATGCCATTAAGGAGCTTTATTGTAAAGTGTAAAACAGTACATTATTTATAAGGCTCTGTTATGACATTATTCTTATTATACTGTTCAACACTTTACAATAAGGCTCCTTTACTGTGGATATGTGTAATGCGGTAATACAGTACAATAATATATGTAAAATATGTGTTTTCAATAAATTATTGTGCTTACAAGTTAGTAAACTAGTCTGAAATGTTTAATAAGCACCTTTAGATGTGATATATACATGAAGACATTTGGCTCACTATTTGGCAAGAAATCGGACAGTTTTCTCTCTTCCCCTTCCTTAATCAATGAATAGTAAACACTTATTAATGATTTATAAAGTATTTACAGATAATTAATAACCATCTATAAACTATTTATAAGCCATATATAAGGGGAACCTTGTTGTAAAGTGGTTCCAGTTTAAGTTATATCCGTTCATTTTTCACGCTTGAGGCTATTGGATTTTCACCTTGTGGCTGGTCCAGAATATTCAACCTTGTCAGTCAGACATTTGAAATTTGAGGGAAGTTCTGGTTGCTTATTTTGACCAAGAGCATTAAAATTCTGACTTTTAAGTACAAATCCCTCTACACCACAAATATCCTCTGCAGGTTTTTTGTTAAAAAATATGATTTTTCATTTAAGGCACAATCCATTTTAGATGTGAATCCATTCAGAGATGACATTCAAAATGAACCAATAAATCTTATATATTATCATAGTTTTGGTAAAGTTTGGTCAATGCGATGCCTACAGTCCTACAGTGCACCACTTACATTCTCCAGCCCTGGGTTTGTGCTGTGCAGAAAATAATGTACTATTGTTAAGTACCTGGCCAACATAAGCATGTATATCCTTTGACGCCCTCTAAACATGTGGCACCATGCTGGCATGGATCAGAGGCACATTCAGAAATATCCACTTCACAGTTGTCCCCCTCAAATCCTGTGTTACTGCAATCACATGTGTAGCTGTAAAAGAGAAAGAAAAGGTGTGTACACATAGCATATCACGTTTGATTTTCTTTTGATTTTGTACAAAGGAGGATTAATTTCTTGTATAAATCCAACTAGATGTTTTGATTTCTGTGAACAACAAAAATATGAAGATAAAACTGATGAATTATTAATAAATTATTTATTGATACTGCTTGTAATTTATTTTTTTCTTTTGATGTGGTTTCTTTGTTTATATTTTTGCAGCAGATCTGGGGCCGGTTGCATGAATGTAGGATTTGTACATCCAGGATACAGCCAGGAAGTTGCGCTTGAACAATCCTTGAACTTGTAAATAAGCATATTTAGTTGCAAACAATAAGCCACACAAAAATAGGGGAAACAGTTCAAAATCAGGGGTTAACTGTTTGCTTAGACTCACTCCGTGGATCACACAGATTTCCTGATCACACACATGCAGACCAACAATGGAAATGAAGAGATGAGACACACGATCACTAAAACCTGAAACATCGCTGCCATTGATACTTTGCAGGTGAAATGTTTTTATTCAAGTACACATTTTTGCCACAGGTGCATAGATCAAAATTTTGCATGTGACTTTTGCAACGCATCTACCTTCATGTGTTCACACTGTAGGCTGATGGAGGTTGTGTTTAATTTATAATAGGAACCACATAAAAATTTTATCTGAGCAAAAAAATCTGAATTGAATGTTATGACTTGTCATGTAAAGCCTTAATTTCACATTTCACATTTGAAATCGTACAAAATACAGTATATAGTCACATTAAAAGTGAAGTGATTTGAAACAATATGTTATAGTCTAATTTTTTAATTAAAATCTGGTATGTTACCAATGGTAAGTAAAGTTTGTTATTCGTTACAACCACTTATGCGGCATTAACAGTCTTTGTTCCACTGGTGGGCAAAAATGGTGCAGTTTCTGCCTTTAAATGTTTTTGGACATTTTTGGACGTTTCCAGATACTAACGAGGGTTTTTTGTTTTGAAAACCAGACAACTTCCTTCAGTTATTACCTTTAACTTGACTCCCTTACAAAAAAGTTCAAACTTCAAATGGTATTTAGGAATAATTTAAAGGGGATATTTCATGTAAAATCAACTTTTTTGAGTTTTATATCATGATATAGTGTTACACTCTCATAAAAAACATGCCCAAAGCCTTGCTTTGACTCATTCATGCATGTTTGAGAAATCCTGCAGTGTTTATAGGAAGCCATGCTGAGGAGCAAAACGACAGGTGGGGACCAGAAACGACTTTTGGTACCAGGAATGTCCCTGGGATGTGTCTTTAAGCCAAACTTCCTCATGGCAGAGCGCCCCCCCCCCCCTCCCCACACACCCCGCCATGACTCCTGCAGGCTCTCTCGGGTGAAAGTGAAAGAGAAACCTAACTGTCTGCTGAGCTCTCAACATTAGTTCTCACTTAGTGAAGCTCTTTTCAGATTAAAAATACCTTTGAAGAAATATATTTTCAGATGCCAAGTAAACTGCATCATAGCAGCCCCCCACCCACCCTGAGCACGACCCCCGGCACTGAAATGGGCAAAACGGAAGCAGAAGGTGGTTCTTAAAGAGACAGAGGCCAATTTCAAGGTGTTTAGAAGAGGAAGTGATGAGAAGATAAATTTATTTTCTATTTAAACATAAAAACAGCATTTTAATAACAACTAAAGGTGACATAGATACTTTATTATGGTATAGTATTTTAAATATATGCCTGAGAGATACATAATATTGGCCCTTTAAGGGGCTGCATGACTAACATTAGGTATACTTGAACCACTTACGGACAACAGACTTACAACTGTGTTCTGGACGAGCTAAAACCCATTCTCCTGACTTTAATATTTGTGTAGCCACTTGTCTAAACAGTCTTGCCTACCTGTTCACCATATCGCGACAGATTGCTTCATTCTGACAGGGCTCACTGGCACACTCATCCACGTCCACCTCACAGTTGATGCTGTCAAATCCAGGCGGACACTCACAAGAATACATGCCGATCAAATCATGGCAGGTGGCTCCGTTCTGGCAGGGGCTGGACTCACACTCATTTAATTCAGCTTGACAGTTGACTCCTATAATAGATGACAAGGAATAGCATTTCATTAGAAAATATTGGGAGTACAAAAACAACAAAAAAGCACCTGACTAAAATGTTAAAATCACATTCTTATAAACCAAATGGGGGCCCAATAGAAAAGGTTTGGCAAACAATGATGTAAACAAATCATTTTTTCCTTTTTATTACAATAGATAATTCCCACAGGACCAGACCCGAAGTTACACCTGAATGTTGCCATGTTGGAAATGAACCAGTAAACTGTGTTATCTGTGAGCAGCGTTAGGAAGGCTTTGTTCTTCTTTTTTTTATTTAAAATTTCCTTGAGCAATGGCTTCATCAAAAAATTGAGTGCATTAACAGCATGACATCGCTAAAAAGCAGCCTCTGCACTGAAAAAAAGGATTTTTGGGTGTAGTGACATTTATTTAATTGTTCTTTTAAATTTTACAAAAAATATCAAATTTTCTGAACTACTAGAATTTACTAAATAAACAATACACATTATATTGTATATCACTATTACTGAACAAAAAAAAAAGTAAATGCTAATATTATTTTACCAGTAATATTTAAGTGCTTTTTCTGGACGGCACATAAACATGAATATATTAAGTAACTTCTACTCTTCTGGGCTAAAACTGAGGGTGCATGCACACACAAAGGCTGCTGCTCCTCATTCCCTTGCTTCACTTTTCAAGGAGAGGACAAGACATGGTGGAAATAAAACATAAGTTGTCTGGTTTCTTTTGCTTGAATACATTTGTTGTTGTGCAATAGTTTGATGGCATAATGTAGGTGAAATTTAGTTGTCAGGGAACAGGGAATGCATATTGTAGCATTCTGTTGTATTTGGCTGTTTGTCATGTGACCGCAGTGGAGGATTGTGGGTAGGATTCATGTTTGTTGTAGTTAAATCATTTTCGGGAATTGGTTAACATTGTTCTTTCAGCGATTAGTCTGTTGTGTTACTCTAATTTGTGTGTTCATTATTTGTTAACTTGTGTTAAASCGTTCAGCAGAAGTAACCATAAGTGAGAGTGGTAGGCCTAGTCATTAATAAGACCTGTGAGTTTCACTTTGTCTGTGTTGTTCATGAAGAAGAATCCAATAAAGGTTCTGCAAAACTGCCACCTGGTGGTGAAGTCTTGAACAACAACATGAGCTACACCTCTCTCTGTAGCTGTGAGGTGTCATGCAACAATATTTTGCTTGACGCATGTGCACTGTTACAAAGAACTTGTAAGATTTACTTGAGAAAATCCTTGTAACAATTTGCCCTGTTAAGTAAATTTAAATGCTACAAATTCATGTAATATTTACTCATCATTATCTAGTAAAAGTTATTAAGAATATAGTTAAAGATTTGTGACTAAATCAGGTAAATTTTACTTGATTTGATCAAGTATATGTTACAAGATTTAATTGAGCAAATTAAGTAAAATTTACCTGATTTATTCATGAATCTTTAACTATATTCTTAATAACTTTTACTAGATAATGATGAGAGTAAATATTACATGAATTTGTAGCATTTAAATTTACTTACCAAATGTTAGTGCAAATCATTTACAGGATTTTCTCAAGTAAATCTTACATTATTTTTTACAGTGACTCTGTTCTCTGTTTTCAGTTTTTGTTGTGCCAGATCACAGCGAGTTGCAGCTCTGGTGGGGGATGTTGCCAGATCACCCCCAAAATTGAACCATTTGTTTTTTGTGACAACCCCAACATGCCCTGAAAATGTCACACAAATCCACTCAGAACTTTATGAGTAATCTTGTGCACATATGGACAGACAAACCGAACTCTACCGAAAACATAACCTCAGCGGAGGTAATAAGCACCTGTAGTCCTGCTGGTTTTAATTTCCAACAACAAGAGAACACAGGAACACATAGTGTAGTATTATAATTACAGTCAATGGTCTCAATAGGATCCTTGCAACCTACCAATAAAAACAACTTGGTTCCTGTTTTATCTTCTTTTTGTACTTTTGGCCTTACCTGTAAAGCCTTCCAGGCACTCACACTCATAGTGGTCCTTCTCATTGATGCAGGTTGCATTGTTCTCACACGGCTGTGAAGCACACTCATTGATGTCGATTTCACAGTTGAAACCCTGAAAACCAGGCACACAGAAACAATAGAACTCTGCCACTCCATCTACACAAATAGCACCATTTTGACAAGGTTCTGATAAGCATTCATCCACATCTTCTTCACAGGTCTTGCCCGAGAAACCCTGCGCACAGAGGCATTCAAAACTATCTGGTCGTAAGGCACAGCTGCCGTTGTTCTTGCAGGGTTCGTCAATACAGTCAGTCACATGTGTCCTGCAGTCCTGACCTCCATACCCTGCAGGACACCTGCAGAAGTATCCATTCATTTGGTCTACGCACAAAGAACGAGGCTCAAAGCAAGGGTTGCTCTGACATTCATCAATTTCTTCCGTGCAGTTGTCACCCATAAGTCCATCCGGGCAAATGCAATGGTATTCTGTTGTACCAGGAACGCTGGTGCAGTCTTTACATAAAGCAAAGGAGCAGGCATCATACAATTCATCACAATGCTTTCCCATGTACTGCACACCATCTCTGGTGCAGATGCAGGCGTAGTCATTGTCTGTGTCCACACAAGTGGCTCCGTTTTGGCAGGGTGCAGACAAACACTTGTCTGATGTGGCTCTGCAGAAGGTTCCTATAAAATAAGCATCACAATGAGATCAAATTATTCAAGATAAAAAAAAATCTATAATAAGACAACTTGAGTTCTAAACATTCACTACAAAAAATGGTATTTTTTGTAATTGTGCTATAAGCAGGATAATTTGAACAGTCAGGATAAGAAAAAAAGGATTTTGAGGCAAAACGTTCAAAGGGTGTCTCTAAGAAATTATTATTAACCTTCTTCCTAGCCTTACTTCTGATTTACTTATTGATTTGTGAGGCTAATTTGATCATTTGTTGCTTGTTTTGCTGCTCTGTCTGTTGCTTCATTCCCTCTGACTCCTATATGTGTGCTGGTATCCATAAACAGTTGACTGTTAGTCCCATCATTTGTATTCTGAATAGTGTTTGTAATACTGTATTTCTAATAAAATGTCCAGTCAGCTGTCTGATTGACTGTTCTGAAAACTTATGTGTTGAGCTTGAATCTGAACAGATGACTGTTTTTAATGGTCTTGTCTCTTCTACCCACTGCACTGCCAACAATACTGCCAGCATCTCCCCTGTGTATACTGATACTTGACTTGTGATTCTTTTCTTTATTTCTATTTTGAATTCCGGTATTAAATATGCCACTCCTACTTTTTCTGTTGTTGTTTTTGACGCATCTGCATATACAGTATCTGCACATAATTATGATAGTTATTAATCCTGTACCATGTATGAATTAAAAATTAATGGTCTATCTTTTTTCCTGTCCATGAGTGTCAGATCAACTATTGCATCTGGTAGAATCCAGGGTGGTATTCTTGGTAATGGAACTATTGGACTAATATCTAATTTGTCAACTAGAATTTCTTCTGTTTTCTCTGCAATCACCCATCCGAAGCTTTTTATATCTTTTCTTTCCTTCTCCCAACTTGGTTTTAAAATAACCACTGCTGGATGTTCCGGGTTATTTCCTTTGATGATGACACAGTAATTTATTGCTAATTGTTTTCTTCTTATTGCTAATGTCATTTCTCCCATTTCAACTTCGAGTGCTGCAGTCGGTGTGGTTCTAAATCTTTGACGCACCTGATTCAGATGATTAACTTTGTTGAACTGCAATCAGTTACCAATTGAAATCAGCTCTGTTGAAGCAGGGAAACATCTAAAACATGCAGGGCAGTGTGCCTTGAGGACCAGGGTTGGAAGAACACTGCTCTAAACTACCACAATCCCCCCAATGAATCATGATCTAACAAAAAAGGTACATTTACACTCTGTGTCAAGAGACAGGAAAGAGCACAATCCTCAGTTTAGCTTAAAGAGTAACTCACCCCAAAATTAACTTTTTTTTAGCTAATAAGCTGTCTAGAATGTGTCTAAAATGTTATATAGTACTGTTTCTGTGCTAATTTAGATTTTGTATGGACTTTTTGCAAAATTTATGGATTTTTAGGGCTCTTTATACAGGTAAACGTCCAAAGAGGTTGAAATGTATGCGAACCGGACCGAACTTCAGTCAAACAAGACCCAACACTTTTGTTCCTGATTTAAACTAGCGATCTTGTGAGCAGCTGCAGCTGTATGCTTTTATTTTTCTGTCAGGCTGTCGGAGCACTCCACCTCCTCTGTCCGGTGCTGGTGTGGGGTGAAAATCCTCCACCTCAGACGTTCAGAGATGTAACTGTCTGCGATACTGTGGTCACTCTCCATGTAGCATCAATTCTGCTAATGCTAGCTGCCTGTTGCGTTCTCTCGTCCTGGCCACACCTCCGCACTCTAACGCCCCCCCTTCCCCACCCACACCCCCTCCCCTTTTCACCTTGGAGC